GGACCCTTCATCAATTAGATGTCAACAATGCTTTTTTGCATGATGACTTACATGAAGACGTCTATATGCAGCCTCCACCTGATTATATCCGTAAGGGGGAGAATCTTGTTTACAAGTTACATAAATCGCTCTATGGACTTAAGTAGGCTTTTAGGCAATGGTTTGCCAAATTTTCACTGGCCATTTTTAACACTGGTTACATTCAATCCAAAGCCGACTACTCTCTATTTTATAAACAAAGGTACCTCCTCAGTGTTTATACTAGTGTATGTCAATGATGTAATTATCACAGGTTCAGATGCAAATGAGATTTCCAAGCTTAAGAACTTCCTACATCAGCGATTCAAGCTAAAATACTTAGGCAATCTAAAATATTTCCTTGGGCTTGAGGTGTCAAGATCACGAAGAGGCACTTGTTTGAACCAACGACAATATGCTTTGGATATTATCAAAGACACAATTTTATTGGGAGCTAAACCTAATCCTTTTCCCATGGAAGAAAATCTAAAGCCCAACAATACTGATGGCAATCTACTTAATAATCTAGCCTCATACTGTCGCTTGATTGGAAGACTTATTTATCTAACTGTTACAAGACCGTGTATTCTTTTTGCAGTTAATATCCTCAGCCAATTCATGCACCAACCACATATGAAAGCTGCCACACGTTTAGTTCATTACTTAAAGGGATCACTTGGTCCAAGTATTCTGTTATCCTATCATAATAAATTAAAATTGTGAGCTTTATGTGACTCAAATTGGGCAAGTTGCCCTATGACAAGAAGGTCAACAACAGGTTATTGTGTGTTTCTCGGAACAAGTCCAATTTCATGGAAAATCAAAAAACACCCCCTTGTATTTAGGTCCTCATCAGAAGCCGAGTATATGGCAATGGCAGTAGCTACATGTGAGCTACAATGGCTACGATATCTTTTACAAGATCTTGGTATATCACATTCTTTTCCTAGTACACTTTATTGCGACAACAAGGCTGCCATATATATAGCAGCAAGTTGAAAGAGCAAGTTGAATCTTTTAGACATACATGCTCCAACTTGAGGGAGAGTATTAGAAATCAAGGCTTAATTGAAAGAAGACTTTAGATTAAAGTTAACGCTGTATAGATGTCTTACTTGGACATAAATTATTTTCCTTTTCTATGTAATTACCTTAGACATAGGATCTAGAGATTTCTTTCCTTTTGTATTCCTTAAGCTTTGTTATATATTTGTAATCTTTGTACAATGATCAATACAGAAAACATTCACCATATTTTCTTATATTTTTCTTGATCGATTTTTCTTTTTAATCTTTTTTACGGTAAAGCTCATTCTAATGCACCTCTAGTTTCTGTTTTTCTGGTTGTAACATATGATTTGAGTTGAGCTTATTTATTTTAATAAAAAAATAACTAGTTAAAAGATATAACACCAACAAGTTAAGGGCGGAACTATGTTTGGGCTGAGATGGGCTCTAGCCCAGTGCTATGTTTAGTTTAGAGTAGAGGCTTAAGGGGCTTAATTATACAAGCCAAATCTATGTAAATAAAAAATTAGCCCACCGTCTTCTCTAGAAATAAGCCTACCTCCATGTAAATTCATCAAGTATACTCCCTTCCCAACCATTGGATTGACTTTGGAGTCCTTGTTTCGAGAACCATCAAACGGACCAGACCCAGGTCTTTTGGCAGTGACACAACTATCCAAGTGATACTTTCTTGTTTTTCTGTCATATCTACGTGAAGCTTTCCAAATTTTAAAAGTGTAGGATATTAATTTAATTCAAATCTTTAAAGCTTTCCTTTTCATTCTCTCTTCTCTGAGTTCTTCATTTAATTTTGCTTTCATCATTTTTCCTCATTCTCTTTCCTCCTCCAAAAGATGGCAAGAATTAATTTGTTTCTTCACGGAAACATCAGAGCTTTCATCATTTTTCCTCATTCTCTTATCTCTTTCTTTTTCCTTCACTTCTTCACTCTCTTCTCTGTGTTCTTTGTTGTTGTTTGTTTGCTAATTAAATGACTTCCATTTTTATTTCTACTGATTTGTGTTTTTTTGGGGTGGTTTGTTGTACTTACTTTTGTTGCCCCGCCCCCGCCTACCAACAAAAAATTCTAGACATGATATTTGCAGAAATGGTCCCTCAATTATACCCATATTTACAATTTGATCACTCAATTCAATTATTAGTTGCACAGCTAAAGAAAAGGTACAAAACACTGACACCTTAATTGGCATTGGGACCACTACAAAAGGAACAAAGCACTGACACATTTGTTTGCTCTAACCCTTTCCTAATCTTATCTTTCAACTGTGATATCCCTTCAGTCCACACGAGATACATAGCTGCAAAAAATGGTAGTGACAAGCTCCAAAGGCAGTGAAGCTGTTGGCGTTGGATCCAACTATGACAGGACAAGTGAATTAAAGGCCTTCGATGACTCAAAAGCTGGAGTGAAGGGACTTGTAGATGCTGGTTTGGCTAAAGTCCCAAGAATTTTCATTCATGACCAAAAAATGATCATCAACAACGAACCAATTAGCCCCAATGAGGGCTCCGGGTTCGGCATCCCAGTCATAAGCTTAGAAGGCATCGCCAAAGATGCAGGTCAACGTGCCCAGGTCATAAACCAAGTTAGACAAGCTTCTGAGAAGTGGGGGTTTTTCCAGGTGGTCAACCATGAGATTCCAGTCCAGGATCTGGAGGAGATGATTGATGGGATAAGAAGGTTTCATGAGCAAGAGCAAGCAGTGAAGGAGGAGATTTATTCGCGCGATTATACCAAGAAGGTTTTGTATAATACCAATTTTGATCTTTATCATGCACCAGCTGCTAACTGGAGGGACACCTTGTCTTGTGTTTTGGCTCCTCAGGCTCCCAACCTTGAAGAATTACCTTCAATCTGCAGGTATTTATGCGAGGAAATTGTTCTTATGCCATGCTGCCAATTTTTTAAAATTCTCTTTTTTTAATTTGTGTTTCAAATTAACATTTTTTTTTTTTGCATTTTATACAAACGATCATTAAGTTATTCTAAATTATTCTAATTTACTTGTAAACCAATGATTTTATGTTCGAACCATAGCATTTTGTAGTGTTTAACTCTCATTCCTTTGTAGTTTATACGCTTGTATGGAAATATATATATATATATATATATATTTCTGATTTTACAACTTAATTTATAAGAGAACTCAGTTGCAATAATTAGATCATACATCCTTAACTTTCTTGACCGAGGGCTTTGTCTTGTAATTTCTTTTTCCGTATGATTATAAAAATAAAAAAAATAAAAAACTTTCTTTGAGATATTTTAACGATAGCAAATGACCAATTTGCAGGGATGTAATGGTTAATTACTCGGAGAAAGTAATGAGTTTAGGGGCCACTTTGTTTGAATTGTTGTCTGAAGTGCTTGGGCTAAAACCCAACCACCTAAAGGACTTGGGCTGTGCTGAGGGACTATTTTTTCTGGGTCATTACTACCCAGCATGTCCTGAACCAGAATTGACGATGGGCACAAGTCAACATTCTGACAGTAGCTTCCTCACAGTTCTCCTACAAGACCAAATTGGTGGCCTGCAAGTCCTCCATGAAAATCAGTGGGTGGATGTTAAACCAATTCATGGAGCTCTAGTCATTAATCTTGGAGACATGTTGCAGGCAAGTTAAATTAAACCAAATTCTAATGTGTACTTATTATGTACGTTGATAATTTCTAATGTGTTTTTTTGGTGCAGCTAATCTCAAACGACAAGTTCATAAGTGTGAATCACAGAGTCTTGGCCAAAAATGTAGGTCCAAGAATTTCTGTGGCATGTTTTTTCAGGCAGCATCTTCCACCGGAAAATTCTTCAAGACTGTATGGACCAATCAAGGAGTTGTTATCAGAAGAAAATCCTCCAATTTATCGGGAAACTACGATGAAAGATTTTGTTGCGCATTACTACACGAAAGGGCTGAACGGGGTCCCTGCACTGGAATATTTTAAGATATGAAGCTAGGCCATGGATATATATGTAGGGTCTAATTAAGTTTATGCAGCAATGAATCTATATATGCTCTTGTTAAAAAGGAATGCAATAAAGTTTTCTTATGGATCAGAATATTAGGGCACATTTGATATCCATTTTATTTTTAGTTTTTAGTTTACATTTTTTATGTAGTATAAAGGAAAATGATAGGGAGAATGGAATTGAGGATGAGATTAAGAGAAAGGATGAGAGGGGATGATGGAAGGAAGAAGTAATAAAAGTGAAAACAAAAACTTGAAATGAAAACAATTTCAAATAGATTTCAGTTTTTAAATTTTATTTTCATTTTTGTTACTCCTCCCTCTCATCTTCTCTCTCAAATTGTGGGAAGATGAGAAAATTGTGGGAAGTCTCATGTATTTGACTTCAACTAGGCTGAATATTATGCATGTTGTGAGTCTTATTAATTGTTTTATGGAGAATCCTATAGAGCTTCATCTTGCAACAGCAAAAAGAATTTTTCGCTATTTAAAAGGTACGATTGATTTTGGTGTTTTCTATAAGAAGGAAGCAAAGTTTGATCTGTTTGGTTTTACAGACAGTGACTATGCGGGAGATCAAGATGATCAAAGGAGCACTTCAGGATATGTGTTTATGACAGGTTCAGGGGCAATTGCCTGGTCATCTAAGAAGCAGCCGACTATGACTTTATCAACAACCGAAGCTGAATTTGTTGCAGCAACATCCTGTGCATGCCAAGCCATTTGGCTAAGAAGGTTAATTGAAGAACTTCATTACATACAGCAAGGTCCAACGTTAATATATTGTGATAATGTTTATGCTATTAAGCTTCATCCAGTTTTGCATGGATGAAGCAAACATATTGATGTGAGATATCATTTTCTTCGTGATCTCTACAAGGATGATGTTATTGATCTAATTTATTGTAAAAGTGAGGACCAAATTGCTAATATTTTTACCAAGCCTCTCAAGCTGCATGTGTTCGGGAAATTGAGAAATTTTTTGGGAGTTAATTCTTTGAAGGATGTTGCTAGTTGCTCCTGATGGTTGAAGAATTGAAGTTTTACCTTTAAACTGATTGATTGCAGAACATTTAATTTAAGGGAGGATGTTAAGAATATTTATTATTCTATTTATTACGTTTATGATTTGATTGGCCCGCCCTTTGGACGGTAACTACCATCATTGGTTTTGGGTAGGGGTGGGCTCAGTTTGGTTTGGTTCGGTTTTGAGGCCAAACCGTGCGCCAAACCATGAACTCCGGTTTGGAGAAAATTCAAACCGTGCGCCGAACCAATGTACCGGTTAAGCGATCATCTCGGTTAACCGGTTAGCTCGGTTTGGTTTGGTTTGGTTTGGTGAAAACCTGCTTGGAAACATGTAGACTCTAAATTCATTCAAACTCAAACATTCATTCACCATTCACATTACAACATATTCAAATTCATTCATTCAATCAATCTTTTCAATTCAAACTAAAACATATGCATCGTTCATCATTCACATCCATCCAAAGTTTCAAAGTAAACCATATGCATCATTCACCATTATATAAAAATATTGACTAAGTATGAAAAATGGGTTTTCGGAATAATCATTTTCTCAAGATAATTTTTGGCGGCTTTTATTCCTCACACATCAAATAAGAAAACTTGATTTTTTGGAATTTTAGTATGAAGTATATATTGACTTAATGAGCCATCATTTTTAGCCTAAATCGTATTTTGCACTAAAATCGATTTTTCATAATTTGATTTGGTTGGAATTTGATTTTCTAGTATTTTTATTTGAATCCAAATGGGGGGTACTTCCTTATTTACATTGTAAACTTAAGTAAATGGAGTAATATAAAAATAAATAAAAGTAAAATGACAAAGACATTTACTTAAATGTTGAAAATGGAAATAAGGTTGTATTATAATTATTTAATTACATATAATTTAACATACCTGGTTCGGTCCGGTTCATCGATGGTTTCTGAAATTGAAAACCAAATGCCAAACCGTGAAGGCCGGTTCGGTCTGATTCATGCACCGTTGGCCAAAAAAAGAAAAAAAAACCAAACCAAACCAGACCGACCGGTTTGGTTCGGCCGGTTTGGCCGGTTTTCGGTCCCATATGCCCAGCTCTAGTTTTGGGTTAATTTTCAAAAAATATTTAAGAAATACTATTAGAAATATTATTGCGGTTCGTTTCTTGCTTAACTCAGATAATGTAATGTGAAACCTACAATATAAAAAGTATTATTATTATTTTTTAAATGTCATTGTAACATTTGTAATATCTAGATTTGGCTATGATTCGATGGGAATTTGCCAACCAATAGTTTCGACAAATAGTCATCGTCTATGAGTATGACAAATAGTCATCATCAACCAATAGATTCATAATTCAAACTAGTTGCCTGCCACGTGATTGACTCTAGTATGATTTACGTGATTGACTCTAGGTTTTTACTTTTCGTTGGTTGCTGGTCTTTCTAGATTTTTCTGTAAAGCAATTATTATGAAGCTAGCTTATATGTAAGTCCTATTCTTTGTGGAACTTCACATGTTTCCTTATTTTCTACATCTGATGGCCAAACATTATTGACTTTAGTAAGTCCATTAACATAAGCTAGCATATGTAAATTTTCATATATATGATGCAATTGCAATAGCCTTCAGGCAAAGCTTCTCTTCTGCATTTAAAGCACTATAAGTTACCTGATTTAATGGTGTCCGGGAACTCAAGAAACCAAGACCGTCTTCAACAGCTAAAGGCCTTTGACGATTCTAAAGCTGGTGTCAAAGGGATAGTCGATGGTGGCATCACAAAAATCCCACCAATTTTCGTCCGGCCAACGGAAGATTCCGCAGGCGACGGCCCAAGTTCCGGCCAACCAACCCAAACCCAATTCAGTATTCCGGTTGTGGACCTCGGTGACACTGCCGGCAGGCATGATGACGTAGTTGCCAGAGTCCGGCGGGCTGCGGAGACCGTTGGGTTCTTCCAGGTTGTGAACCATGGAATACCCAAGAGAGTGTTGGAGGAGATGTTGAAGGCCGCGCGTGATTTCCACGAGCTGCCAAGGGAGGTGAAGGCTGAGTACTATAGGAGGGAGCCGGGCGTGACGGTCAAGTTTGTGAGTAACTTTGATTTGTATAAGTCAAGGTTTGCTAATTGGAGGGACAGTCTGCTTTGTGCTATGGGTCCTGATCCTATTGATCCTCAAGAATTGCCTGTGGTTTGCAGGTACATTGAATGAACATATAATTGGTGAATAAATTTGATGCCTCTACATGATTGATTCAATTGATTGTATACTAATAGTTTGTTAACATAACATGCCATATCGAGTGTGTGTCTAATAAATTAATAGTTTGACAACATATTTTTATATCGAGTGTGTGTCTAATAAATTAATAGTTTGACAACATATTTTTATATCGAGTGTGTGTCTAATAGATTAATAGTTTGATAACATATTTTTACCGAGGAATACTATATTTAGTGTTATGTATATTCTAGCTTTAAAAAGTAGTATGATTTTTAGATATGTTATAAATACGGAACATTGATTTATGATTATTTTTTTTGGTTTAATTTGCAGAGACATAACTATGGAGTACTCCGAACAAGTTGACAAACTAGGTGTGACTTTGTTTGAATTGCTATCAGAGGCACTTGGGCTCAAATCTGAGCACCTTATAGGCATGGATTGTGCAAAAGGGCCTCTTATTGCTAGCCACTACTATCCTCCATGCCCTGAGCCTGAGCTGACAATGGGAACTAGCCAACACTCAGATCCTTCTTTTCTCACCATCCTACTTCAAGACCATGTTGGGGGGCTCCAGGTTCTGTGTGAAAACCAGTGGATTGATGTTCCTCCTGTGGCTGAAGCTCTTGTAGTGAACATTGGAGATCTTTTGCAGGCAAGGCAACCACCCTAATATATTTCTCAGCTTACAAATGAATTGTGACATTGAATTTAGCATTCTATTTTGAAAATATAGTTTCTAATGCTTCTGTTTTGGTGCAGCTAATCTCAAACGACAAGTTCATAAGCGTCAACCACAGAGTCTTGGCTAAAAATGAAGGACCAAGAGTTTCTGTGGGATGTTTTTTCAGACATTTTTCACTCGAGAATTCGTCGTCAAGTAAACTTTACGAGCCAATCAAGGAGTTGACATCAGAAGAAAATCCCCCAATTTACAGACAAACCACTTTGTATGATTTTCTTATGTACTACTACAAGAAAGGCCTCAATGGGGTCTCTGCACTTGACTATTTCAAGCTCTGAATTAGGCCATGTATATATAATATATGTTTATGCAATAATTATTAATCAGTCTCTTATGTATCACAAATGTGTGCTTGAGTTGAAAGGTCTAGTACGTTTTAGTTTTCAATGTTACAAGTAATACAATACACTTTCCTCATAAATCTGAATATTAATTCATGGACTTTGGAAATTTAGCTTCTTTTTTACAAGAAATATTTGTTAATTCTAAAAATACAAATATTCAACCGAAGGAAAAAAGAAAAGAGACTAATATTTTTTGAGTACAAGTGAAAGTGATAGTCTAAATTAGAGACAGAGGGATTTCACATACAACTAAAATGCCGTGGAGATCTCATTGGCGAAAGAGACTAATATTAGGAAAACAAGAAAGGTGCTTTTCTATACATTCAATTCAACATCACCAACCAATTCCAATTGCTTCATTTAACATCATTGTGACTTTATCTTGACAGCAACATTCCAATTTTTTCAGAAAGTGAGCATAATGAGAGCAAAGACTAACGTAAAATAACTGAGGAAATGACATGATCAAATCCAATCAAAGACTAATATGTGGCACAAAATATAATAAAACACGTGTCCTTGCCTTAAAGAAAAGCCTCTGCATTTCCAACCAAGTGCTAAAAAAGTTTGCAAGATTTTATATCAGGAAAAACAGGTGCATGAAAATGATCTCCGGGTACACAGCAAACGGAGACCGTCTGCAACAGCTAAAAGCCTTTGACGAGTCCAAATCTGGTGTCAAGGGAATCGTCGACAAAGGCATCACAAAAATCCCACCAATTTTCGTTCGGCCGCCGGAATTTTCTGGCGGCGACAAACCAAGTTCCGGCCATCGAATTCGAACCCAGTTCAGTGTTCCTGTTGTGGACCTCGCCGACACAGTCGGCCGGCGTGCTGACGTGGTTGCCGGAGTTCGGCGTGCCGCAGAGACTGTTGGGTTCTTCCAGGTGGTGAACCATGGGATACCCAAGAGAGTGTTGGATGAGATGTTGGCGGCGGCGAGTGGGTTCCACGAGCTGCAGAGGGAGGTGAAGTCTGAGTACTACAGTAGGGAGCTGCTGAGGAAAGTCAAGTTTGGAAGTAACTTTGATCTGTATCAGTCAAGGTTTGCTAATTGGAGGGACAGTTTGCTTTGTGTCATGGGTCCTGAGCCTCTTGATCCTCAAGAATTGCCTCTGATTTGCAGGTATGTCCTTAAGAGTATTGGGAAAAGTTCAAATTTTGGTAAAGTAAAATGGATGGCAATTTATTCTCATCCCACTTGGTACATGTTGTTTTTTCTTTTCTTTTTTGAAAAATCTAATTTGCAGAGACATAACTATGGAGTACTCTGAAAATGTTCACAAAATGGGTGTCACATTGTTTGAATTGCTATCGGAGGCACTTGGGCTCAAACCTGACCACCTTATTGAGTTGGATTGTGCAAAGGGGCATCTTATTATTAGTCACTACTATCCACCATGCCCTGAGCCTGAACTCACAATGGGCACCAGCAAACACTCAGATCCTGACTTTCTCACCATCCTACTCCAGGACCAAATTGGTGGCCTCCAAGTTTTGTCTGAGAACCAGTGGATTGATGTTCCTCCTGTGCCTGGAGCTCTTGTAGTCAACATTGGAGATCTCTTGCAGGCAAGCCCTCTAATAATTCCTCTAACAACTATGTGAAAACCGATTTTCTTTTTCTTTCACAAAGCTATATATTGTGGAACTGTTCTAATATATGGGGAGGGAGATCGAACTTGAGTGCAGGGGCTGCACACTAATTTGGACAACTGGCCTAATCCGCGTATGGAAAATCGATATTTTTTATAGTTGTGACCAAATTCCGTGAAATGATTGTTGCGTTGTAATTATTGCAGCTTGTGTCGAATGACAGATTTAAGAGCGTAGAACATCAGGTGCTTGCAAACCATGCAGGGCCAAGAGTATCCATTGCCTGCTTTTTTACTCTGCATCTTCACCCGTCGACAAGGTTGTACGGCCCCATAAAGGAGTTGTTGTCAGAAGATTGTCCGCCTGTTTACAAAGAAACCTCACTGAAAGACTTCATTGCCTACTACGATGAGAAAGGGCTTGATGGAAACTCTGCACTAACACATTTCAAGTGCCAAAGGTAACAAACAATGAATTAGGAAACTCATGCTATATTGTTCACTCTTGGATTGATGAGTTCAGATTACTAGTAGTAGGCTACTTAGATTTGGAATAACAGTTCAATTTGTACGAATTGGATACGAATGGCCACCGTATACGGAATCCATTGAAATTAGGCACATAATGCATTGAATTTGTTGCTGTTTGCATATTTTCCTTTTATCTTTTTTTGGTGGTGTGGTTTGTAAGTACCAAATGTGGTGAAGATGTTATATAGGCTTTTACCATGTGCTTTTTGCAGAACGCACCACAAAACAAAACCAATTATATGATACCATGCATCTTTTTCAATTTAAGACACATGTGTAAATTTGGGTTTAAACAGTATACAAGACGAAGACCAAAAAAACAGAGAAGGAAACGGACAAGTTTTCAATCCGATATGTGTTTGTAGACTATATAAAATTGGAAAACAAAAACATACATGTTCAAGGTCAGGCAATAAAGAAATCACATTCACATACGAAAGAGAAAATTAGTAAAAACAATAATTCTTGCTAAGACCATGTATTAGCTAGCTCAATCCAACTATTTTTTTTATGTAAGCCATACCTCACACTCCCTCCCAAAAACAGAGCTTCTTTTTGTATTTTCAGTCCAAACCTTATTATGAGATTCTTGATAAAGTCCAGAAAAAGCTCTCTTCCTGGAAGAGTCACACTCTGTCATCTATGGCTGACAGAATTACCTTAGTGCAATATGTTACTTCAGCCATCCCTATTTACACTTTGCAAACTGCCCAATTGCCTATGTCGTTGTATAACAAGCTTGATCAGTTGAACCGGAATTTTCTTTGGGGCCATACTGATGATAAGGCCAAGGTTCACTTGGTCAATTGGAAGACGGTTTCTAAACCAAAAGCCACTGGTGGTTTGGGTCTAAAAAATGCTGTTTTGATGAATAAGGCCTTACTGGCTAAAACTGGTTGGAGGCTGCACCAAGAAGATCATTGTCTTTGGGCTCAAGTGTTGAAAGCCAAATATCTCAAGGATTGTGATATTCTTTCTACCAACGATAACCATACTTCTTGTAGCTCTAGTGCTTGGAGGGGTATCCTTTATAGTGCTCAGATTATTCCTCATGGTACCAAATGGAGGGTGGGTTCTGGTGATAATGTCAGATTTTGGACTGATAATTGGCTTAGTTGTGGGCCTTTGGACCAATATGCTACTATTGACATTTCTGAGGATATGCTGCAATTAAAGGATAGTGACTACTTTGCAGATGACACCTGGAATGTTAATTGCTTACTGGAGTGTCTGCCTACTTATATTGTGCACTAGATTCTTTGTGTTCATGCTGGATTTCAAGAGAGTGGGTCTGATAGATGCATCTGGAAACTCACTGCTAATGGTAAGTTTTCTGTTAAGACTGCATATGGTATTTCCTCCATTAATGATCCTTTGATGTGGTCTTGGAGCTTTATTTGGAAACTTCATGTGCCTATTAGGATTAAGACCTTTCTTTGGGTTCTTTGTCATAAGAAACTCCTTACCAATGTGCAAAGACAGAAGATGGGGTTTAGTCAAGACACTTCCTGTCTCAGTTAATTGGAAAGGATTTTTGGGAGGATGATGAGGTTCCTAATATTTCTGTGATTGATTTTGATTCTTGGCTACTTAAGAATTTAAAATCTCATGTCACCTTGCATGGTATTCCATGGCCGTTGGTCTTTGCAGTCTCTTTGGTTTGTGTGGAAATGGCGATGTAAGGTAGTCTTTGAGTAGAATTTCTCGACTCCTGCTATCTCTCTTCAAATAATCATGAATTATGCTATGGATTGGTTTACTATCTGTAATCATACTCCTGATCTTGTTGCGAAGCAGCTGGTCCATTTGCATTGGATTGCTCCCAAGTTTGGGATTTGTAAAATCAATACTGATGGTAGCAGAAAAACTGAAACTGGGTGTATCGGTGCTGGTGGTATCTTGAGAGACTCCGCTGGCAAGTGGTTAAATGGATTTTCTGTGAATCTTGGTGCTGGGACCATCCTTGAGGCTGAGTTGTGGGGTGTTTTTTGGGGTCTCAAATTGGCATGGGATACAGGTTACAGAAGTGTGGAGGTGGAATGTGATGCTAGTTCCGTGGTGGCAGAATGCTCCTATGTCTGATCATCCTCTCTTTAGTCTCATAAACTGCTGCCATCTGAAGCTTCATGATGATTGGGTTTATTCTCTTACCCATGTTTATCGCGAGCAAAATCATGCTGCTGACTTATTGGCTGCCAAGAGCTATGATTTCCCTCTTGGACCCCATGTTTTTGCCTCGGAGCCTGCCTTTCTTTGTACTGTTCTTGCTGCTGATGCTAGCAATGTGGCTAGTCCTCGTCTAATTCCTATGTAATTTTTGTTTCTTTTTTGGGCTCTAGCCCTCCTTAGCACCAAAAAAAAGAAGTACAACAAAATGGTCGCACTCAAACAAACAAAGACTTCAAGAACTAAAGTCCCCCTTATTATTATTATTATTTTTTATGATAAATACTACGAGGTGTCTCTACATCCCAAAGATAGGATTAATCTCAGTTCGGGATTCGGTTTGCCTTTGGCCACCAAGTGCTTCTAATGAATTTCGAACCCCTGTCATTGAGGCATCAGGTAGTTTTCCAGCTGGAGATGACAGTTTACCAACCGCACCGCTGTGTATAGTTCCCCCTATTTCTTTTGATGATGAATAAAGTCTTCATACTGTCGAGGTTTTCTATAAATAAATAAAAAAGGCTGGTGTCAAAAGGATCCGGACAAAGGCATCACCACCAATCATTATTGAATAGTATATTGTAAACTGCCGACCAAAACACATTATTGGATTTGAGTAATATTTAATAAAAGCATGCAAACATTTCCTAATGAAGCCTTAACCAAAGTTTCATTTTGATTTCAAAATCAAGTACAAGAACATGGTGTCCCCGAATTCAACAAACCAAGCCCGTCTCCAACAGCTAAAGGACTTTGACGAATCAAAAGCTGGTGTCAAAGGGATCGTTGACAAAGGCATCACAAAAATCCCATCAATTTTTGTCCGGTCACCGGAATATTCCGCCGCCGGCGACCCAAGTTCCAGCCAACCAACCCGAACCCAGTTCAGTATCCCTATCGTGGATCTCGCTAACACTACCGGCCTGCATGATGACGTGGTCGCTGGAGTCCGGCAGGCAGCTGAGACTGTCGGGTTCTTCCAGGTGATGAACCATGGGATACCCAAGAGAGTGTTGGAGGAGATGTTGGCGGCGGCGCGTGGGTTTCACGAGCTGCTGACGGAGGTGAAGGCTGAGTACTATAGTAGGGAGCAGATGAGGAAGGTCAAGTTCAGGAGTAACTTTGATTTGTATCAGACAAAGTTTGCTAGTTGAAGGGACAGTTTGTTTTGTGTCATGGGTCCTGAACCTCTTGATCCTCAAGAATTGCCTGACGTTTGCAGGTATATATGATTCTTCATAATCCTGTAGTTTTTTTCTTTCCTCTTTTGGTAATTTATAGAATCCTATAGGCTGCATATCTCAGTAATGTACTATGTGTAATGCTAAGATAACGAAACATTTTTGTTGTTCTGACATGATATGTTGTTAAATTAACAGTTTTTATAACGTAAGTAACGTGTGTATATAGAGAATGGTTTGTGGACCAAACTCTCTAACTTGTACAAGTAATTATGGTTTTCATACATATGTTAAGAAGCGGAGCATTGATTTGTGGAAAGTTGAAATTTGGATCTAGTTAAATGTGTGACAAATGATTCTCAATCCAGTTGGTGCATGGTTTTTTCTTGTCTCTCTGTTGATCTAATATGCAGAGACGCAACCATGGAGTACTCAGACCATGTTCACAAATTAGGTGTCACATTGTTTGAATTGCTATCTGAGGCACTTGGGCTGAAATCGGACCACCTTTTAGGCTTGGATTGTGCAAAGGGGCATGTAATTCTTAGCCACTACTATCCGCCATGCCCCGAGCCTGAACTGACTATGGGAACTACCACACTCAGATCCTTCTTTTCTCACCATACTACTTCAGGACCAAATTGGTGGCCTCCAGGTTCTGTATGAAAACCAGTGGGTTGATGTTCCTCCTGTTCCTGGAGCTCTAGTTGTGAACATTGGAGATCTCTTGCAGGCAAGCCCCTTTCTGTGTTTCAGCATGGTTCTTTACTAATGATCCTCTAATTGCTCTGATGTGTATAGTATAGTATTTGTTTTTTTTTTTTCCAGCTATTTCAGGAAATTCTGTCTTCTATAAGATTGTTCTGTTGTGTCCTTTTTACTTTGTGTTGATAAATTGTTCTATTTAATGTTCTTGCAGCTTGTATCCAATGACAGGTTTAAGAGTGTGGAGCATCAAGTGCTTGCTAACCATGCAGGACCAAGAGTATCTGTTGCTTGTTTTTTCACCCTGAATCTTTACCCAGCAACAAGGTTGTACGGCCCCATAAAGGAATTGTTGTCCGAAGATCATCCGCCTCTATACCGGGAAACCTCACTGCAAAACTTCAGTGCTCACTACGACGGAAAAGGGCTTGATGGGAACTCTGCACTAACACGTTTCAAGTGGCAGAGGCAACAATGAAATAAGTCACTTGTGCTGTAGATTAGTGGCTGTGAACATATGTTAAGAGTTCCTTCAAGTGGCAAAGGTCACAATGAAATAAGGCACCTATACCATATGCCTAAACTTTGCATTATGTTACAAACAAACCACTTATGTTTGATAATGCAATGCCCCAATTGATGCTTGTAGTTTGTAAAGGCTGAAGCAGATTTGCTTGCACAAATGGATCACCATTTTAATCTTTTGCACAATTTTGCTCACTAAAGTCTGTGGCACTCTCTCTCTATCTCTTTCTCTCGCATCTTCTTCTTCATCTGTAAAACACCCCTTTTCTGCAACCCCTTTTTGGTTCCAGGGGCTTCCCTGGAACTAACCCCTTCGGCTAATAAACTGGGCGTGTCTCTAACCCGTCAAGTTGTAGAGAGGTTTCCCCCCCAGTTTTTGCTGGGCTTTTGACTTTCTTGCAGTTGAAGCATCTGGTGGGATCTACTATCTTATGGTGGTGTGGGATCGTGTGTGGTGCTAGAGATGCTATGACTTTTATCTAAAGGTCAAGGTGGAATTTGAGTGGTAAATGCTCTTTCACTTTATGGTGTTTTCAGATCCAAAAATGGATGAGAGTTGGTTCTCTGACATGATCTCTCAGTACTGCCACTGGTTGCAGAGTTCCTATTGATCCTGTCATCTTCCTCTCTGAGTAAGCTTGGTTTAAAATGTCAGTGGAGTTTTGCTCACTGTTCTTGCTTAAAATGTATTGTCTTGCTTAATTGTTTGGTTTATTGTTTGCAAGAACCCTCCTCTAGGGCAGTGTTCTTCATGTATATTTTGTAATTGCCTCTATTATGAATGGATCTGGTTATTTCTCAACAAAAAATAATAATAATTTGAACCATTCAAATGATTTAAATATCATCCCAGACGTAAGCCATGAGATAATCGAACGTGCTTTCGTTGACTGCCGATAGATTTGCTTCACCTTTTTTCTCAAGATTACGTAGTTTTTCCTTTCCTTCAAATCTTAAGCAAACCATTTTGACCAGACTAGAATATTGTTATTAGTATATTTGACCATCTTCAGATCCAGCATTTGCACACCATCGCAATCTTTTCGTATAGACTACATTACAAGACAGGGAAAAGAGAAAGGAAAATGACAAGTTTACCTTCTTTATTGGTTGGTTGCCTCATTAAGAGAAAAAAACCTTACTTGTAACGGAATAGTAAAATAGTATTATTTCCGAGAGTTTCTCCCGTTATAGGTAAGTTTTTTTGCCATTAAAGAGAGATAGAGAGCAGAGAGGTTGGTGGATTGTGTAGTTGGATGTAAATCCCAAACACAAAAACACAAAAAATTTTAAACAAATCAGACTTTGTGGGCCAAATTGCATTAGCAATTGGCCTAACTTAAGCCACCTCAACAGAGATGAAAGTACGACCATATTTTGTAACTTAATCTGAAAGATCAACGCTTTATCAAGTTTTCTTGTATCGAGCAGATAATGGATACCTCAGTTCTTGGCCACAGAACATCATCACATGATGAAAACCAGTCTAAATACGACCGAGCCAAAGAGCTAAAAGCTTTTGATGACACAAAGGCTGGTGTGAAAGGCCTAGTTGATGCAGGCACGCTTCATGTACCCAAGATATTCATAGGGCCACCCAATGAGCTCATCACTCACTTTCCCACATGTCACCAACCCAACCTGCAAGTTCCTGTCATTGATCTCCAAGGCATCAACGGTGATCTCCAAAAGCAGATTGTAGATGAAGTTAGGGCCGCGTCCAAAACATGGGGCTTTTTCCAAGTGGTCAACCATGAAGTCCCATTGACTGTGCTGGAAAATATGATCCAAGGAGTGCACAAGTTTCATGAGCAAGATCTCGATGTGAAGAAAGAGTTCTATACCCGTGATCTAGAAAGAACCGTCAGATTCAATAGCAACTTTGATCTCTACCAATCAAGAGCAGTTAATTGGAGGGATACTCTGGCTTTTGCAAGTGCTGCTGTTGATCAGGACCCCAAACAACTCCCTTCGGTTTGTAGGTATTTGCTCAAAATCCCTTTCAATTTCATTGCTTGTGTTCTCGATTGCTGTTGTATTATTTTTTGGTGGTCTAATTTAAACAGATTAACTTGGTGATTTTAACTGATTGGCTTGTCTCCCAATAATTAAAAATTGCTCCTTCTGGGAACTGTGTTCATATGTGTTCTCACATCACAAATATATTCTACTAATTAAATTGTAATGTTTCCTTTGAGTCAATGGGGTCTAGTCAAGTGGAAATTAAAGTGCCTTGGTTTGCAGATCAGTGGTCTCAGGTTCGAACCCTATGGCACCTTAGTAGGGTGTGTTTGAGAAACTCCCCTCTCCTTGTAGTTTAGACTATCGCTTGTATTAAAAATAAAATATAAAAACCCAACTTTTCAGCTTCTTTTTACACATTTGTTCACTCCAAATTGCAGAGATGCAGTAATTGAATACACAAAGCATGTCAAAAGTTTGGGAGACCAACTCTTTGGATTGTTATCAGAGGCTCTTGGTCTCAAGCCTGACCACCTAAGGGAATTAGAATGTGCTAAAGATTATACCCTTGTGTGCCACTACTATCCAGCATGCCCAGAACCAGAACTTACACTGGGAAGTAGCAAGCACTCAGATCCTTCTTTCCTCACAATTCTTCTTCAAGACCAAATTGGTGGCCTCCAAGTTCTTCATGACAATCAATGGGTTAATGTTCACCCTATTTCAGGTGGCTTAGTAGTAAATATTGCTGACTTCCTTCAGGTTTGTTACCAATGCCAAGCTCATTTTCATTTTTTCTGCAATTCACCAATTTTTTTCTAAGGCTTCCTAAATTTGTCCAGGCTATATCTAATGACAAGCTTCAGAGTGTTCAACATAGAGTGCTTGCAAACCGGGCCGGTCCAAGAGTTTCCATAGCTTGCTTTTTCACAGGAGAGAAAACTGGAGCACTTGCCAAGTCCTATGGTCCAATCAAAGAGCTTATATCAGAAGAGAACCCTCCTCTGTATAGACATTTCTTGATAAGTGAATATTATGCCAAGTTCTTTTCTCAGGGGCTTGATGAGAAGTCTGGTCTTGACCATTTCAGGCTTTGAAGCCAACAATTTCAACTGGTTGACACTTTCAAGATGTAATAGCTATGGCTGAATTATGTTGTCTGATTACCACATTGTGAAGTTTCATGTACAACAAACAGTGATTGCTTTGTTAAAATAATTTCTGCCTAACTTCATTTCTTTTCCTTTTGTTAAAGTCTACAGCAGCTACAGATCCTCCTACATTGCAAAAATTAAAGCTGTCACTTTTGTGGATTTCAGTGCTTGGTTTCTTTCTGGTCTATGACAAATTTATTTTTCAGCTCATTGTCGTGTGGACAAGGAAATAATAATGACAACGGCCTCCAACTACCTAATTTCTTGTACGCCTAAATGATAGGATCACATCTGTATAAATTGCAATATCACACTAATGAAAACTCATTCTGCCAGAACTATTCTTTCATTCATATCCTACCTTATTTTACACTTTTATCTAAAGGTCAAGGTGGAATTTGAGTGGTAAATGCTCTTTCACTTTATGGTGTTTTCAGATCCAAAAATGGATGAGAGTTGGTTCTCTGACATGATCTCTCAGTACTGGTTGCAGAGTTCCTATTGATCCTGTCATCTTCCTCTTTGAGTAAGCTTGGTTTAAAATGTCAGTGGAGTTTTGCTCACTGTTCTTGCTTAAAATGTGTTGTCTTGCTTAATTGTTTGGTTTATTGTTTGCAAGAACCCTCCTCTAGGGCAGTGTTCTTCATGTATATTTTGTAATTGCCTCTATTATGAATGGATCTGGTTATTTCTCAACCAAAAAAATAATAATTTGAACCATTCAAATGATTTAAATATCATCCCAGACGTAAGCCATAGATAATCGAACATGCTTCCATTAACTGCCGATAGATTTGCTTCACCTTTTTTCTCAAGATTACGTAGTTTTTCCTTTCCTTCAAATCTTAAGAAAACCATTTTGACCAGACTAGAATATTGTTATTAGTATATTTGACCATCTTCAGATCCAGCATTTGCACACCATCGCAATCTTTTCGTATAGACTACATTACAAGACAGGGAAAAGAGAAAGGAAAATGACAAGTTTACAGATACCTTCTTTATTTGTTGGTTGCCTCATTAAGAGTAAAAAACCTTAGTAAAATAGTACTATTTCCGAGAGTTTCTCCCCATCAAAGAGAGGTAGAGAGCAGAGAGGTTGGTGGGTTGTGTAGTTGGTTGTAAATCCCAAAGAAAAAAACACAAAAAATTAAATAAATAAAAAAATCAGACTTTGTGGGCCAAATTGCATTAGCAATTGGCCTAACTTAAGCCACCTCAACAGAGGTGAAAGTACGACCATATTTTGTAACTTAAATCTGAAAGATCAACACTTTATCAAGTTTTCTTGTATTGAGCAGGTCATGGATACCTCAGTTCTTGGCCACAGAACATCATCACATGATGAAAACCAGTCTAAATACGACCGAGCCAAAGAGCTAAAAGCTTTTGATGACACAAAGGCTGGTGTGAAAGGTCTAGTTGATGCCGGCACACTTCATGTACCCAAGATATTCATAAGGCCAGCCAATGAGCTCATCACTGACTTCCCCACATGTCACCAACCCAACCTGCAAGTTCCTGTCATTGATCTCCAAGGCATCAACGGTGATCTCCACAAGCAGATTGTAGATGAAGTTAGGGCCGCGTCCAAAACATGGGGCTTTTTCCAAGTGGTCAACCATGAAGTCCCATTGACTGTGTTGGAAAATATGATCCAAGGAGTGCTCAAGTTTCATGAGCAAGATCTTGATGTGAAGAAAGAGTTCTATTCCCGCGATCGAGAAATAACTGTCAGATTCAATAGCAACTTTGATCTGTACAAATCAAGAGCAGCTAATTGGAGGGACACTCTGGCTTTTGCAAGTGCTGTTGTTGATCAGGACCCCAAACAACTCCCTTCAGTTTGTAGGTATTTGCTCAGAAACCCTTTCAATTTCATTACTTGTGTTCTTGATTTTGTTTTATTATTTTTTATGTTATTGGTGGTCTAATTTAGACTGATTAACTTGGTGATTTTTACTGATTGGCTTGTCCCCCAATAATTAAAAATTGCTCCTTCTGGGAACTGTGTTCATATGTGGTCTCACATCACAAATGTATTCTACTAATTCAACTGTAATGTTTCTTTGGAGCCAATGGGTCTAGCCCAGTAGAGACCCATTGAAAATTAAAGGATATTGGCTTGCAGATGAGTGGCTTCATGTTCAAACCCAT